GTGTGTGTGTGTGTGTGTGTGTGTGTGTGTGTGTGTGTGTGTGTGTGTGTGGTGCCAAGCTGTTGTTGGTTTATTCTTTGGTGTTTACATTTTAGTTGTTTGTGAGGTTTAGCTTTTGTAATAAGAGAAATAATGAGAAATAAGCATACCGAACACATAAAATTACAGTGCGATTATTCTGTAATAATAAGTGCTTTCATGAAGATGAAAACCAAAACATTTTTTAGGTGAAGCTGTGTCCGTAAACTCAAATATTGGCAGCATTTTCAATGTACTTTTTATTGCTAACGTTTGAAGAGCCTGAAAAATAGTTTAAAGATAAAACCTTCCACAGGCCCTTCAGCCGCCTCGCACACACTGTAGACTGGTTTCACATGAAGAACGTGGACCAGTCCACGTATAGAAATATGTAGACTGAGTCAGTGCTCAAACCCACGCAGTTTTTTGTAGGTAGGAGGGGGTGTGTCAGAAACACCTGTGGTTCTGTAGAAGTCTGTGTCCTGTGACGTGCTTAAAGTCAAACAACATGAAGGGCAGTTTAGTAAATGAAGCTCTTGTTAGAGAATTCTGTGATTTCCTCTGCTTCACAGTCAGGTTTGTGCCGTGCTCATGACATCCGCCTGCAAACTGATCGCGTAGGGAACATTTTTAGCTTTACAATGGGATTTACTAACCAGTGGGTCATGTCACAGTGGCAACGTTCATCCTTTATAAGCAAGTTGTGTTTCCCATGATTATCCAAAGAAATTGACACTAGAATGGGCAACATAGCCTCAAAATGATATCCATTTTTTAAGGAAATCCAATAATGTGAATTTGATGATGTTCTAAATGAACATTGTATCAGAGAGTGCAGCTTGCAGACAGCAGCACTGATTAGTGCAAAAAAAGAGGGAGATTTTCCTTTTATTCCAGTGTGCTACTGTCAGTGATGACACATTATAGTGCAGTAAGAGTGACAGCATTATATACAGTGACAAAGAGTGAGTCGAATGCTTAACTCTTTAGCAGTAACTGAAGTAACTCAACAGTTCAGTAACGCGGGACGGTGTTATCACCTATTAGAATCAGTACGTGGTTTGGTTCTTACACAACACCTTTCTCCTCAGTTTCATCATTTACAACAGTTTCTACTGCTTGTCTCATTCACGCAGTCACACACACACACATTCACCTAGTGCTTTTGTCTATCAGTCACACACTTACCCTCTGAAGAATGGATCAGTATCTTACCCACTGTCCAATCGCTGCTCTTCCTGTCATTCAGTTCAGTTCAGTTGTATTTATATAGCACCAACTCACAACAACTGTCAGCTCAAGATGACAGTTGTGATTTGTCATTTGGTTGTATGGAGTATAACTAGCTGGTGGTCCAGTGATGATGGCTGAGTCATTTGTTTACTTTTGGGTCACACGTCACCAGCTGATCATATTTCCTGCTCAGATGCCTTCATGGCCTTGCTGTACTGGCTGCTGTGTTTTTAACTCAACCGGTTTGTTGTTTACATTTTTAGTGGGAACAGTTTCGTGAATATTTTGCGCAGTCTTTCAGCTTTACTCTGTGCTTTGCCATACAACCAGAACTTTTTACACCAGAGATGAGCTAATGAGCATCAGGGCTACAACTCCTGAGGACTTATTTCCATCATTCATTGCCTGATCTGGCCATTCAGGTTCATGAAGTGAGACGCTGTAGGAGAGGAAAGCAAGCCGGTACGCTCCTGCATCTGCATCTGCACCGCCTCCGTACTCCACTACAGGGAACATAAGCTCATTGGGCAGCAAAATAGATGAACTCCAGCTATTGATGGGGAAAAACAGAGACTGCTCTAAATTGGCTGTTTTGTGTTTTATGGAAACTTGACTGAGTGGATCTATACTGGACTCTGTGGTGCAGTTGGTAGAACTCCAACTCTTCAGAGCAGATTGCCACATGAAGTTCTTCGGCAAGACAAAGGTGGAGGTATCTGTTTTTCTGCTTACAGTGGCTGGTGTAATGATGTGACTGTTATTCAGCAATACTGCTCCCCTCATCTGGACTCAAATGCTCATCCCTTCAGTAATTTCTCCATCTCCCTAGAAACCTCTCTCCCTACTTGAAAGAGATGTAAACAAACTCAAAACAGAACACCCAGAAAGCAGCAGGACCAGGCTCAGTGTCTCCATCCACCCTGAAGCCCTGTGCTGATCAGAGACATGTCATGTGCCAGCCTGCTTCCACAGGACTTATCATTCCTGTTCCATTTTTTTAAAAAAGGGATCACAAACCGACCTGTTGCTCTGACCTCTGTAGTCATGAAGAGTTTGACCGTCTGGTACTATCACATCTAAACTCTATCACTGTCCCCCTCCTGGATCCCCTGCAGTTCGCCTACAGAGCCAACAGGTCAGTAGGTGATGCTCTTAACATGGCACTGCATCTGGACTCTGCAGGAATTTATGCTAGGCTACTTTTTGTGGACTTTGGTTGTGCTTTTAATATATTCATCCGTACTCTGCTGCAGGAAAAGCTCTCCCAGCTGAATGTGTCTGCTCCCACCTGCAGGTGGATCATTGACTTCCTGTCTTTCATTGCATCAGCACTGGTTCCCCTCAGGGCTCTGTCTTTACTTTTCTAATCTTCTTCTTGTATACCAGCAGCTGCACCTCCAGACACCAGTCTGTAAACTCCCGAAGTTTGCAGATGACACCACCCTGTTGGGCTTATCTCATGTGGAGATGAGTCCGTCTATATGAGCGAGATTGACTGGTGACTTTGTGCAGTGACAACAACCTGGAGCTTAAATGTTGTGAAAACAGTGGAGATGACAGTGGAAACCAGACACCCCTCCCAAACATCAGCCTCCTCATAAAGAAGACACAACAGAGAAAATACAACCTGCCAACGTCAGTGATGGTGCAGTTTTTCTCCATCAATGAATCTATTCTCACCTCCTCCATCACCGTGTTGCTGCCAAGGACAAATGCAGACTGCAGCATGTCATTCCCTCCACTGAGAAAGTGATTGGCAGCAATCTGCCTCCCTACAAGACTTGTAGACCTCCAGGACTCTATGAAGTGGGGGGTCGGCATGGATCTTGCTTGCCTGTCTCAAACTGTTTGTGACACTGCCCTTTGGCAGGAAGCTGTGGTCCTTTAGAAACAACATGTCATGGCATAAGAACAGTTTTACACAATGACACAGCAACAAATTCCTCTTTTGTACAAAGTCGCCAATAAAAAGGAACAGATATAAATACATTATATTGCCAAAAGTATTCACCCATCCAAATTATTGAATTCAGGTGTTCTAATCACTTTCATGGCCACAGGTGTATAAACTAGAGAGATTTCTGTGCTGAGCCTGGGACAGAATGGATGGAGAGCCAGTGCATAACATATTGTATTTTTTATTTGCACCTGTGTAAGAAAAAAAATGAAAATTTTTGCTATTGTCATCAGAAAAAACAGAAAGAGCAGGTTAAGCAGGTGATATGATCATGGTAATGGTATCAAATAATAATGTTGGATTGTGCTGACTGTTAAAAGCCAGCCTTGTAAAATAGACAGCTCTGTTTTCTTTGACCAGGGCTGATAGAACCAGGTGGTTGGTAGATTAGTTTTTACCTCCAACTCTAACAAGCTGAAGTTCAAAGATATAAAATTGTCCTGCATCCACTGCGATGCTAACTGGTGAAACACTCCAAACACTAATATTAGTTCTCCTCCTCCTCTGCCAGGGTCCCAGTACCCATCTGAACCGACCCCAGTGAGGCCTCTGTAGTCTGTCCTGCACTACCAGGATTCAGTTCAAAATAAAAAAGTCAAACTTCATGAAACCAACAAAATCATTCAATGCAAATGATTTATTGGCTCCAGAATGACAGAGTGCCATCTGTAAAGTTGCACAATTATCAACAGCAGCAGCCAGCAGAGAAAGCGCAGGTTGACTCTAAGTCGTCAGTGAATGCTGAGGACTGCAGGATCAGAGACCAGCTGACAAGGAGAGACAGGGTGAAGCAGCCTGAGGTAGTACGACCCGGAGAATCAGTCTATAGATGAGAAGTTCCAGTCAGTGGGGCACGCAAGGGAACAAGTGGTCAGATGCATTGTCACTGAGCACAGCCTCAGTTTTCCTTGGATCCCAGCTTTTTTTCTGCTCAATCCCATCCAGGAAATCATCTCCTTCTCATTTTCAAGCAATACAAAATGCTGCCACCAGAATACTTATGTTTTCTCCTAAGTCGGCTCATATTACTCCTGCTTTATACTCAACACCGGCTACTTATATACAGAGCACTAAATGGAAATGCAGCAATCTTTTATGTCAGAATGTGTTACTCGTGTGAGATTGGG